GGTAAAAGTTGGTCTGTGTTCTGTCGGAGCTGCCTGCGACGCGCTGATGAGATCCAAAAAGATCGAAATCGCGATCCGCGTCTGGCAGTTCCGACAGAATACAGACCACTTCGAATTATTAAAAGAGCTTCAATTTACTTATCGGTAGAATAAAATTGACCTAGAGATCGCAAAAACGTGCCCACTTCATTCGGAATACAAATCAGGAGGTTCCGATTCCCGATTAAAACCTTACCTAGCATCAGATAGATGACAAAGTGAACACGCCTCATAATGAAATCAAAGTCTAGGTCAACACACTGCTAAAAATGCAAATTACACTCTGTGGCGGAAAGGTGTCAAGTGCACTCGGTTCTCAGACGGAAAACTTTTACAATGCCGATGTCTTGTTGAAAGTAATAAAGACTCACACTACAAGTCACTTTACAATATGAAGGACCATAAACACAACAAAAAAAACTACCGCGTGCGTTAAAAAAATTAGGAAGAAAAAGGAGCGGTTGTAAGACAAAAGCATACTTCCTTATTGGAAATTATTATTAATCTTGAAACAATTTATATACAGGGAGACTCTAAAAGAAGCACCACGAATGTATAGAGTATAGATCATTTATTTAGAGAAAGATTGGGATTTGATCCGAAATCTAAAATACTTTTCTAAACCTATTTTCTATTTGTAAAATGTAAAATACATTTGCTAGTATCACCGATCAAACATTATATAAAATGATTACTCAATGAAAGTTGCTCACATTGACCATTGAACGAATTAGAAGCTTAAAACGGGGACAAAGAGACATTCCATGAATGCCTTTTAATTCTTTAATGGAAGAAAGCCCAAAACATTCTATACTCCTTGGAAATGGATAATCTAAAATATTGGATCGATGTTGTTTTCCGGGTTCAATATCGTGGTCCATGGAGTTTTGAAGTTCTAAATTACGACAAAACAACCCTCAAAACAATATCGAATTGATATACGCCAGCTTTGTTAAACTGAAAATTACAAGATATTGTGGTGTGCTAATAAATGCCTATAATCCAAAATTCTCAGAAAACGATTCAAAAAAAGCTTCACACAAAGCTAAAGAAACTATGGATTCCACTTCAATCTCTTATTCCAATGGGTAAAAGATCAGAAACAAAATGGGGTTGTAAATATTTTGATATAAAATGATTGATGTTGATTTTACATCAATAAAATTATTTACAACCCTATTTTGGCTCTGATGTTTGTGTCTACAGAAGACTTATTTGTTGCTGAACTAAAAAAACTATCAACTCAAAGATTAGAAAAATTATATCTCAATCACTTCAAACAGAAAAATATAAATCATACTCAATCTTCGCAGCTGGTGATTAAGTGCAAACACCACTATTAGTTTAGAGAAACTCCAATATTTTAAAGTTAAACATAAGTTAATGTAGTTAAAATTACATAGGTACTACAGAAAAGTATTTTGCATTTAGCATTTAAAATACAAAAGGGAAATCTATTTCGTATTTTACATTTGAAGTAACAAATCAAAAAAGTATTTGCATTTTGTATTTAAATACTTTTAGTAAACCGTCTCCGGTTATTTATTGACTACAGTTCGTTTATTTCTTAGGTCATGAAGCGTCAGGAACAGTACTAAAAGTAGGGAAAAATGTAAAAAATTTGAAACCAGGTAAGTAAAAACAAACAACATGACAAACGGTTTTACGTATGCATGTTCGTATTTTACCCTTGAAGATACTTGATTAAAACAGTCTCTCTACATAACTCTACTCCACCTTTTCTTATTGCTCTTTTCATTCAATCGATAATACAATTTTAAACACAAGCATGCTTAATTACCTTTGATAATGAGTTAAATTTAATCCTGTATCTTTTTAATTCCTCTTCATTCGTAAAAGGCTTTGTATAACAGTGTCTTTTAGGCGATAGAGTTGCTATCGAGCCAGGCGTATCCTGTCGTATTTGTACGTTCTGTAAAGAGGGAAGATACAACCTATGTCCCGAAATGGTATTTTGTGCGACACCCCCTGTAGACGGTAATCTCGCGCGGTATTACGTTCACGATGCTGATTTTCTTTTCAAGTACGAACTACCAATTTTTTTACAAAATAATTTTTTTTTCGTAATAGTTTAGATGCCTATACTTAAATTGAATTATTAATTAGATTGCCAAGTCACGTTTCGTTAGAAGAGGGTGCTATTTTGGAGCCGTTGTCCGTAGGAGTTCATGCCTGTAAACGGGGGGGTGTACAATTCGGTTCGACTGTTTTTATATCGGGGGCCGGACCCATTGGACTTGTTAGTTTGTTAGCAGCGAAAGCTTTTGGAGCTACCAAAGTTGCTATAACAGGTTTGCCCCGCTAATATTAACACGAAGGTACTATTATAATTGTTTATTTTAATTTAGATCTGGTCGAGTCGCGTTTGGAAGTTGCTAAAAAGTTGGGGGCCGATTATACGATTCTTTTAAAACGGGGCGAATCGGAAGAATCACTTTTGAATAGAATTAGGGAAGCTTTAGGGGACTTGGCAACCGTTTCTTTAGATTGCAGCGGAGTTGAGCAGTCTGTACGAATAGCAATTCAGGTAAGAAAAAAAAAACAGTTGAAATTGGTTGAATTTTCTTTTGTTTTTATTGTTATTTATAGGCAACGCGCTCGGGTGGTACGGCTGTATTGGTAGGTTTAGGTGGAAAAGAAAATTTGTCGCTACCCCTATCAGGAACCCTCGTCCGGGAAGTTGACATTAGGGGAGTTTTTCGTTACGTCAATGAGTGAGTAATTTTTGAAATTATAAGAGAAAATGGCCTTATAGAGAATAGAAAATATTAATTAATTGGTTAATTATGTTTTCAGTTACCAGACCTCTTTGGATTTAATCGCTACTGGGAAAATAAATGTGAAACCTCTTATAACGCACAATTACACGATGGAAGACACCGTTAAGGCATTCGAAACGTCTAAAACCGGGGCTGGGAATGCCATTAAAGTTCTTATTCATGCAAATCCTGACTGGAAACCTTGATTAATATTAATTACATACTTATTTTACTTTCACTACTTTCTGTTTTGTTTATTGTGGTATACAAATGTATATAAATAAAAAAATGTTTCGATTTTTTCCTTTTCAGACTTTTTACATTAATTCTACACCATATTCGTTATTTATTTCAATTCTTACTTGAAAACTATTGACACTACGATATTCTACACCTATTTTCACATCTTTTTACCTATTTGGTGCATCAAAAATAATTTTTTAACTTCGAAATTTTACGAGCGTGTTCAATTGTTTATAATTTTTACATATTTTTCGTTACATGAAATTTATGCAAATATGCATTAGGACACTAATAATAAGATTACCTCGCTTAAAATTGTTTTCTTGAAACTCGTACCAGTTTTATAAACAAAATACTTACATATCAGCAAGTTTATTAACAAACAAGATTACAAAATAAGACAATAGTATGCAATAGCAAATCTCATCGAAGATACAATATATATTATAAAAGTTACAACATCCCAAGCGCCAGTTTGTACTTAAGATTTGTAGTAGACGATAATAAAATCAAGAAGTATGACCTTAGAAAACAGGGGGCTCATTTTATATGGTGCATACGACTTAAAAGTGGTAAGAAATACTCTTTGATGAACATTTTCTCTTTCTCTTTGGTAACAAACTAAAATGCCATCTTTTTATATGTCTAGGTAAAATTACCTGTTCCAAAACCTGGACCTGATGGTAACAATTTTGTGTTTCTTTTTTCGATTTAAATTACAATTTGTTTATTTTACTTTGTAGAAGCTCTTTTGGAAATGGGTTGTGTGGGAATTTGTGGTTCGGATCTAACAGTTTGGAAAAGATTTGGAATGGGTGGTAATAAAACCGTGCACCCTAAACTTCTTGGTAATAAAAATGCGACCTCCAATTTACCACAGCAAATTTTTATTATCGTATGATTGTGGTACATTGAGGTTTCATTTGTTTATTATTAATTGTCGTATTTTAAACTCACCGATGTTTTAGGGCACGAACCTGCAGGAACAGTCATAGAAGTGGGAAGCAACGTAACAGCTTTAAAAAAGGGTTGGGTTAGGTTCATTAAACAGTAACTTATATTGAATAATAATTTCTAGGTGATAGGGTAGCAGTGGAGCCTATAATACCATGTAGTCAATGTGAGTTTTGTAAAATTGGTTCTTATAACCATTGCGAGAAGGTTACCTTCTCGGGTGTGCACCCCAAAGACGGGGCCCTTCAAAAATACTACGTACATCGTGCTAGCTCTCTTCATAAGTAATTACCTAATGGCTTATAATAAGTTTTAATTGCATACTACGTTATTTGATTCAATTTTTAGACTTCCAGACGGTGTAACACTAGAAGAAGGTGCACTTTTACAACCCCTATCAATTGCAATTCACGCCGTTAAAAGAGGCGGGGTAATAGGCAATTCTAAAGTATTAATTATGGGAGCCGGAACTATTGGATTATCTGTACTTCTTTCCGCGAAAGCTTACGGCGCTTCTAAAGTTATTATAGCGGGTTAATATCTGTGACTTTTATTCTTATGTACGACAGTTCAAACCCCATTAAAATTGATTCAGTAGTTTCTGAGATATTGTTATTTTTGTATTAAATTGGCGCATCAATAGGCGTCTAACAAGTGCTATAGGGAGGATGCGAATATATTATTTACTTATAACTGTTACTTGTAGATGTAATCGAGTCTAGACTTAGGAAGGCCGAAGAAATGGGGGCTGATTTTACGTACAAAGTTGAAGATGGTGAAGACGAACAAACTACTGTGCGAAATATTTTGAAGATATTTAACGAAAAACCGACGATTAGCTTCGAATGCGCTGGTGAAGAAAGTTGCGTGAGGGTGGCATTAAAAGTAACACCATCTTGATAATCATTCAAAAACATTGTTAACAATTTGATTTTAGGCTACGAAAGACGCAGGAGTTGTAGTAATCGTGGGTCTGGGAACCCCAGAATACACTCTCCCAATTTTCGATGCACAAGTCAGAGAAATTGACATCAGGGGTTCATATCGGTTATGCAACGAGTAAGTTCAACAAACCAGTTTCTTCGAATATTTAAATTTAAATAAAAATAAAAATGTTTCGGTCCTTGTTGAAGTCATTTTATTTCGTTTTTAGTTATCCCACGGCCCTGGAACTGGTCTTGAACAAAAAGATTGCGATCGCACCCTTGGTAACACACCGTTTCGCAATTGACGATTATCAAAAGGCTTTCGAACTTGCCAACACAAGACAAGATAACTGTATAAAAGTAATGTTTCACGTTTAATTTTAATTTTTTAATCATTGTATAAATAAATATTGTTTAGTTGCAGTTGTACATGATTTATATGTAGTATCTTTTATGTAATAAATACAATCGTAACAATATTTAGTGTCTCTTTTTATTTTATTGCTAATTTATAAATGCATTTTAACAGTTTCGCTATTGATAAATTAAACTTTAGCACTTATTTACTATTTTATATTATCCAAAACTAACTTTGTCAACCTTCCAAATCCCAAGTATCCTTAAGTTTGCTTACAAATTTTTAACATTTAGAAAAATATTTAGCTCTGAAAGTCTTGTGCTCGATTGATTGCCTATATATCTGCGTATAACACCGAAATTAATTGTTCGTTTCAATTAAAAAAAAGCAAAATTATTTATCTACTCGTAGTACTGATACATATTACTAGTTCTTTTATTAATTAATTTACCATAAGTAATCTTTTTTATTAATTATTAGATCTATGTATTTACACATACGTGTAATTATTCGGTTTTATACGTAAATATTCATAAGAGAGAAATAATATTATTTTTAAAAAGATAAACAACTTGTTTATCTAATGAGTAATGACCTCTCCAGTGTCCTTGCCCGGATTTTGCCGAGTTCGTGTTTAGTAAGTGTTTATGTTAGGCGTGGAAACTATGGTAAAATTAAGTTCAGTTATTATCTCGTTTAATACTTTCACATCCAAATCCGGTGCAGTCTCTTGTTGGATTAATGTGCAGTTAATGACACAGTTTGCTTTTTCTATGGAGAAAGGTAGGATGTTTTTGTCTTTGCACATTTAATTAGACTTTTAATGTACAATTAGTAATCGATGTGACGTCACACTGTTATTTCTGATCGATACGATTTCTAGTGTTGTAAAATTTCGTTATTTTCGTTTCGTTTTTAATACGGGTAATTAATCTCACGTTAGTCTTTTGTTTAGTTTCAATTGAACAAGAATTATTTTAATTAATGTTGCAATTAGGGCCAAGTACTAATGTTTCTAGTTTAAATTCAATAGTATTATTTACAACCCTATTATCCTGTAGTAAATGTTAAAAAATTGTAAGCAATATTGCAACAGTGTCTGATTACTTAAAGACAATTATTTTGATGGAATATTTATTTGAGCAGTTCTGATTCGTGTCTACGAAATAGTAGTACATAGTAGTAGGTAATACATTTCAACATAAAGTTATTTACACAATATACATACAATTCTTATCAAACTAAGCCTTCATTCATACACAACAATTACAAAAGAAAGTTAACTTAACTTAAATAATAAGAAAAAAAAAGTAATCGAATCTTACTTATCGTATCACATACGTATATACATACACACATACACTGAAAACCCTTTCTTTTTTTAATTAAGTAGAATCAGACCGTCGCCACTCCTGCTTAATATCTCCTTACATGCATCTAAATCTTTACTTTCCTCACATCCTCCCAGTACATGCATCATTGTTTCATCTCCCCTTTCACATATCCTACATATCATTTCTTCCTCTTTCATTCAATATTTACATTTTCTACATTCATTTCCTACTCTAAACCTTCTTACTTCCTACTTCTAAATACTTCCACATCCTTTATTCTATTCAAATAGTCTGGCAAAAAGTCTCCCTGCCAATGCTCCCATAGCAACAACTTTAGACATTCCACATATCTCGACTTATCAATACTTCTTAGGTCTTCTGCCCTTATCATCTCTTTACATATTATTCTCACCATTTCCTAAACATTTTTCCCCATTCGACCCCATTCATTCAGTTGCTCCTGACTCAAATTTAAATATTCTAATGCCCCATCTCTTTCTTTATCATACCTGGTTTTTATTCCAATATTTAAAATTCTTCTTCTCCATAATTCTTTTCTTATATCCCCATCCATAAGCTTTTCAACTTTTATTTCATATTGTACCACCCTTTTTCTGGTTTCCTCTACCATTTTCCCACATTTTAATTCCCTCCGTACAACATAATCTGGCGTATATCTATCCAAACGCAACACCCACTTTATATATTTCTTGTAAACGTTTTCCATCTGTTTTTGTTCCTTCCACCCCCATACTTCCACCCCATAAAGAGCTACACTTCTGACCGTCGAATCAAACAACCTTTTTCTTCTAATCCAATCGTTCCTGCATAATCTATGCCCTATTCCCCATATACTTCCTAACAAGGCGTTTGCTTTCGCTAGTTGCGTATCTATATGTATTTTATCATTGTTGTTCTCTCCCATAACATATCCTAGGTATATATATTTTTTAACCTTTTCTATCTCTTCCCCTTTCCACCTAATCACCTTTTTTTCTTTCCTCTTTCTACCCCTTACTTCTCCAAATTCCATATACTTAGTCTTACTAACATTTAACTCCAAACACTTCCATCTTAAATATCTTTCCAACGCTCCCATCATATCTTTTAATGCACTATGGTTCGTGGCTATTAATACAATGTCATCAGCATACGACAAGGTCCATATTTTCTTTCTACCTACCACTACCCCACCCTCCCTTATTTTACTGATCTCTTTCTCTAAATCACTTAGGTATATATTAAATAGTTGTCTACTCAGCTTACAACCGTGTCTTACGCCTTTACCACTTAATCTTACAACCCCTGTGTCTACGAAATAAAAATCATTTTTTCTCATTTCCATGGGAGCCATCATGATACCCTTTCCTCTCCGTCGTAATTACAAACAGTTTCCAGATACCTAATTGGCCCTCTTGCCTTTATAATAAAATTTTGTGTGTCTTTAAGCATTGCTTTATTATAACTACATTTATATACATCTCTATTGTTAAATATTAAAGTTAAATTAATTTAAGTGTATTTAAATACCTGCTGTTTTATTTAAACTAATCTAGCCAATATTTCAACAGGAAGATTCGGCCAATTCTGGACGCCTTATGTTGCCAGGATTAGATAGCACCCGTCTTTACATTTGACTCCAGAAAGTAGCAGTGCCGTGCCTATCCACTAGAAGCAGAGGTAACAAAAGTAAGTGCCCATATACCTTTAATTTATGCCATTATGACAAAAATTTAAACACAGAAGAAGTGCTTTTAAACATTACGATTATGTTTTGCTCAAATATCAAGAGTTAAACCGTCTATATTTGAATACGGCCTCAAAAGTTATTACATATTTTGCGATTCACATACATTTACACAAATTTCACCTTCTGTAGCAATTATAATCGTTGTTTAAGAGCTCGAAAATTAAGTGCACGTTTTTATCTTTACAATTTTTACGTTTTCATGCAAATATCAATTAAATTATCCTTAAT